AGTCGCTCAACCAACTGAGCCACCCAGGCGCCCAAGCCAAAGCAGTCTTGAGAAAGAAGAACAAAGCTGAAGGTATCACAAACCCCAGATTTCAAGATATACTACAATGTTGTAGTACTCAAAACGTGATGGTACTGGCACAAAAACACACAGATCAACGGACCAGAATAGAGAGCCCAGAAATGGACCCACATGTATATGCTCAATTAATCTACGTTATAAAGGAGGCAAGAATATACGATGTGGAAAAGACAGTTTCTAAATGGGAAAACTGGACAGCTACTGAAACTGGACCACTTTCTTATACCATACACAGAAAAACTCAAAATGGAGTTAAGACCTAAATGCAAGACTTGAAACCATAAAACTCAAAGAACACATACACAGTATGGGATTTGGGGACGACACCAAAATAAAAAGCTTTTGCATAGCAAAGGAAACCATTAACATAAAGGCAACCTATTGAATTGGAGAAGATATTTGCAAATGATATATCCAGTAAGGGGTTAATATGCAAAATATATATATATTTTATACAACTCACACATACACACACAAAAAAATCAATCCAAGTCCTAACCTGAATAGACTTTTTTTCTAAAGAAGGCAGAGGGGCTCCTGGCTCGCTCAGTCAGTGGAGCAGGCAACTCTTTATCTCAGGGTTGTGAGTTTCCCACATTACGTGTAGAGATTACTTAAAATCTTAAGACAGATGACCAACAGACATATGAAAAAATTCTCAACGTGACTCATCTCAGGGAAATGCAAATCAAAAGCACAATGAGGTATTACCTTACACCTGTCAGAATGGCTAGTATCAAAAAGACAAGAAATAACAAATGTTGGTAAGGATGTGGAGAAAAAGGAACCCTTGTGCACTCACTGTTGGTGGGAATGTGAACTGGTGCAACCACTGTGGAAAATAGTATGGAGGTTTCTCAAAAAGTAAGAGTTACCATATGATCCAGTAATTCAACTACTGGGTATTTACCCAAACAAAATGAAAACACTGGGGCGCCTGGGTGGCTCAGTCATTGAGCATCTGCCTTCGGCTCAGGTCATGGTCCCAGGGTCCTGGGATCGAGCCCCGCATCGGGCTCCCACTCCGCGGGAAGCCTGCTTCTCCCTCTCCCACTCTCCCTGCTTGTGTACCTTCTCTCGCTGTGTCTCTCTCTGTCAAATAAATAATTAAAAAAAAAAAAATGAAAACACTGATTTCAAAAAGATATATGTACCCCTATGTTTATGGCAGTGTTACTTACAAAGCCAACATATGGAAGCAATTCAAATGTCCATCGATAGATGAATAGAGAAGATATGGTGATATACACAATGGACTATTACTCAGCCATAAAAAAAGAACAAGATCTTGCCTTTTGTGACAACGTGGATGGACCTAGAGGGTATTACGTTAAGTGAAATAATTCACACAGAGAAACACCATGATTTCATCTCAAAAAAATGCACACACTCATCAATAGAGACACGGTGGTCGACAGAGGGGTAGAGGGGATGGAGGAGACAGGTGAAGGTGATTAAGAGGTACAAACTTCCAGTTACAAAGTCAGTCACAGGGGCGCCTGGCTGAGTCAGTAAAGCATACAACTCACTCGGGGCATGAGTTCAAGCCCCACATTGGGCGTAGAGCTTACTAAAAAATAGTCACAGAAATGCAAAGTACAGCATAGGGAGGAATACTGCAACAACACTGTATGTGACAGATGGTAACTATACTTACCTGTGGTGAGCACTGAGTAATAATGTATAGAACTGCTGAA